TAGTATATATATATATATACTAGATAAATTCGACCTATAAAAGTTATTATAATGTTTAATCATAAAGAAAATATTTGATTCGTTGCATTTCCAACTTTCATTAATATTGATACCTTTCCGTTTCCTTCTTCAAAATAGTGATATGATATCTGAAAAAGATTCAGCGACTAAAAAAATTTTTTTAAATTAATTTTTTATTAAATGTTAACTATTTTAGATGTACTCGTTAAAATTCAAATTAAAATGAAAAACTATACGAGCAATATACATAATGTGGTTGTATTTTGATTATTGCTTTATTAAGTGATACAATATTATCAAACGTTTCAGTCTTAATTTGGACCTTTTTCTGTATAAGTATTTCTGTCTGAACTTGTTTTAACGCATGTTAACTATATTTAATAATATACTCTTAACTATATGTATTACATATACTTAATAAATAATATTGAATTCAATAAATATTATGTAATGTTTTTAATATCTTTATTTTATATTTAATATCTTAATTTAATATTTTTAATATAATCACAAAGGTATATGGATTTTCAGCACTAGTTTTATGATATTATCAAGAAATTCTAATGATTGCAAAAATCTTCACAATAATAAAGAAAATTACTAACTATATAATTTTAATTGATGATAATTTTAATAGCATACAATTTTTAAAAATATCAGAAATCAATACTCAATAGTTGAATTTTGATATTATATTTTGATATTATCAAGAAATTTCTAATAATTACAAATTTTCAAAAGAATAAAATTCAACTAAATGGTATTGATTAATGATATTTTTAAATTGTATGCTATTAAAAATTATCGTTAATCAAAATTATAGTTAGTATTTTTCTTTATTGTGAACATTTGCAATTTGTAGCGCCAAAGTAGGTGCTATTATATACATACGATACAATGCATAACATCTACTTTGACTCTCTTATGCCTACCTCAAAATAAAAGATTAAGGTTCAATATAGGTGCTAAATTTGGACTCGGGATTGCAGTGACAAAAGTCAATTCAACTCTGAAAGCATATATATAGACCTATTATAGATGTTTATTAATTAAAAATTAATTAATTTTATTCCAACATAAAGTCAAATGAACAAGTTGGGAACGAATTTAAATAAATCGCAACAAACAAGAGTACTTAATGTTCCAAATATCAAAACCAATCAGTATAATTGCGTGCAAAATGCAAGAGTGCCTACTCTTGTTAGATCATTCACATTTCGGGTCAGGAGTTTACAAGCGAACCAGTAATTATGAGATGAAAGCATCCCCCAATCCGTCCCAGAATAACCTCTTCCCCGATAGAGACCCTAAAGGGCTCTACTTCTCATCGTCTTCTCCCGTCCAATTACTCATCACACGAAAATGTTGTGGGCTTACCTTCGATCAATTAATTTTGCCGGCCTTTCAGCGCCGGCAAACATTTTCCTCGCTGTTCCGTGTTGCTACAACATTATGGCGAAATTAGTAATATAACGTCTTGAGCGTATATACGTAAAGTAGGACGACGAGTGAGGTGGTGTAATTTGATTACATATTTCGCTGCAAGTAATTCGAGAGCAGCGTTGCAGCTAATGCTTATTTAAGGGAGAAATGATGTCAAAACGGTGTACAAGAGAAGATATAAGCGAGATCGTAATCCTTTTTCATTTATCTCCTAAACGCGGAGATCTACACAGTTAATTAGAGCTGACACGGAGAAAAAGCGTCTTGCTTAATCAAGCAGAGTATTCTTTTTTACGGAATTCCCTCGTTCTGTCGGTTTCTCGAGCAGCAACAGTCACTGTTTGCTCAATATTCTGACATAGCATTTTTATTCATTCTCAGAAAGCGCAGAGAAACCTTTCCTTTCTTTATGCTGAAGAACCTTATTTGATACGAATAAAATTTTTTATTTATAGAACATTAATAAATTTAAAAATATTTAATCTATTCTGTTTTTCTAAATTTTGTTGTATTTGCTATTAATAATAACTTTGTTGATAAATCTCCATTTCATTTCTCTCTTAATATTCTTTTTATTCTATTATAATTATTACACATATAAATTTAGCATCCGCTGATTTAAAAATGATCAAAACACTAAAAAATTAAATGCATTAATAGAATGTATAGAAGTCATTATTACTAGTAAAAACAGAGATCTAATAAAAATACTTCACTTTTTACACCAATTAGGAAAATCTGTGATAACAGAAACGTCTGTAAATAGTACGGAAGCTTACATTCGCTAATGGCACCACTCATTCTGTACGTACTTTTTTCGGATATTTCCCTCTTTTCTGGGCAAAGTAGCGCACGCCTTTTCGAGAACAAGAGTTTGAGAGACGAAAAGGCTGTACTATATGATAAGACGTTTTGTTCACGGTGAAGGACATCAATATCGCTGCTGCGCAGAGCCAAGTATTCAGAATGCCCTTGAAGAATTTTAATGCGATGGAGAAAGAATTTATTGCGACATAGAATGCGCAGTAATGGCGGAAATACGTATAAAAGTCGGGGAAAGGGTGTGCATTGTCGCCGTCTAATGGCTTGCCTCGGGCGTCGTATGGGGCGACATGTACACGCACCACCCACGCAGAGACTGTCTTTCCGGAGGGCTTGGTGTGCAGAGAGAGGCCCTTGCATTAACGCAGAATTCTAAAACCTCGGGCGGATTTGAAGAAGGTCAGAGACAATCGGGGCGGACTTACGCGCGAGATTACATTCCGCGTTCATTTGAATGTTGGTTTATCGCAGATAAAAAAAAAGAGCAGA